TCGAAGCGAGTGACCTTAGTAGATTTCGAAGCTGCCGATAAAAGAAGACAGATCAACTTATAATATACGAGAATCAAAAAGTATAAGAAAGCGGTAAAATCTCACCAAAAGGTGATGGAGTCAAGATCTTGACTCGGTCGATATGTACAAGCCAGGGAAGGCAAAAGAGCCTCGGGGAGGTTAAGGTAAGGGAAATAAGATAATTTCGAGACGAAATATCTTTGTTTTTGGGTTTTGGGCGACGTGTTTCCACTGAGGGTTCTCAATTCTCGAACCCATTTTGGATGAGTTAATGGTTTGGCAAGTCCAAAAGGAGCATGTGGGAAAAGTAGGAAGGCGATTTGGACAATACATTTCAAAAGGGTTCTACCTAAAGGATTGATTATTTTGTGGTTCGATCGATTAATGTCTGTTTTATTGGATAAGGAGATAACGGCATCATAATAGGTCGATTCTAATTTCGATGGGGTGTAACATATTTGATAAAAGTTCTCGAATCGAGATATTTGAAGACAGTGGAAGTGTGTACCTTTCTTCGATTTTGACTTGTCCTGCAACACAAGAGAAGGTTGAGTAGTCGGTTTACGTCGAACTTCATCAAAAGTAGCATGACTACTCGAGAACCAATCGGCCCACCATTGAGAAAAACCCACGAGTAGATAAATAATTTGACTCGAAAGCATAGGGGTAAAAGTGCATCGGGGTTTTTGGTAAAAGCTCGACAAGCTCCCGACTAATTGTGGATTCGAGTTAACTTGGACTTTGGGGAGGTATCGAGGAGAAGAAAGGCAAAGATTGGCTCAGCCCAAATTGTCTCGAGAAAAAGCTGGGGGTAATAGGTGACAAGCTTAAAATCCTTCGGCTGAAAACCCGACACCAAAACATCATGGGTCAAATAATTACTCCATACACCTATCGGTTCGATTGCAACCCGGGAGTCGAGGCGAAAATTTTTTGATTTAAACCAAATCGGCCCCTAAGTTGGCCACTTGTTCGTCAAGATTTACGATAAATGGGGCCAAGGTTGAATCGAAAGTGAATCTGGTTAACAAAAAATGAAGGTATTTACGGTAGGTAGTTTCGTCGGACTTATGACGAGGGTGACGAGAGGATAATCGGGCCCCTTCTATATTTACACTCGGGGGACGGAAGAAATTCGAGGAAGGACGCTCTCGAAAATCGAAGTAAGCCACAAGCTGTACAAACCAAACGGGGCTCGAAAAGTTCCCTGACGCTTTAGGTGTGTTCAAAATTTCGACGACCTCGTCGAAAGTAGCATACACATGAGCTAATAGCAGCTTAGCCAAACATATCCGAGGCTGACCGATGTGCAGGACATATGCAAGATCAAACAAATGGGAGGAGATTTGGATGGATCGGGGGCAAAATACATGGGTGTATAGCCAATACACCAAAAATGTTACATGCTCTTCATCAGTAACAACTATCGAAGGGTCATCAACAAAATGTTTCTCAATGAAATGTCCGTAAGCCTTCGATTCCCAATCAATTTTGGACCTCAAAGAACTACTCGAAGGACATGCACCTTTAATATACGTCTCCCCTATGGGCTTCAACCCGATAATAGCCGCAATCTCGAAAAGGGTAGGCGACGAGAGGGCCACAAGGCAACTCCAAAGCATGTAGGTCCTTGTTCCATAAATGCACCGCGGACAAAAACATCGCCATGTCCAAAAATGATAAATCGCATCGAGACGAGATGCAAAAAGTCGAAAATTCCTATATCCCTCCAATGGTTCCCAAACTTGGCTTGTACCACTATCGAACCACCTAATAAATTGAGGCTTTTTGGAAGGAGGGCCCGTTCTATACACTTTAGAGGTAAGATTCGAGAAAATCAACCCTAACTTCGAGGTTGATGAACCAAAGCCAGGACTAGTTGAGAGGTTAAAAGGAGTAAAAGTGTCATCGATAGGACGGAGAGGACCCCAAAAGCAAAATTTACCCCTTCAACGGTATAAGGAATAAGTACCTGCGTCTCGGCAATCTTACGGAAGCCTCCTCCATCGGAGGAGCTGGAGCGAACTTCTGGTTGTTGATCTCCAGCGAGGTTAGAGGGTAGTGAAGGAAGGGGTGGAGCGGAAAAATCGGAAGATTTTGATGAGCTGGCCATTGTAGTGAGCTTAGGAAAACAGAAAGGGAAGAGTTAATGGATGAGGTAACAGGGACGAAGACAGGAGCTCAAGGGAGAAGATGAGATTGCAAAGAGAGTGATGGTTCGCGTAAAGACCAGAGTAAAGATCAAGGAAAGGGTAAAGGGAAATCGTCTAGGGAGTTGGAAACGACGGAAGGGAAAGGTAATTAATGTAACTTGTACTGAAAGGCAACAGACTGACGAGACGGCGACGTAAAGTGGAAAAGAAACCTAAAACCCTTTTAACCCTAGAACCCCAGAAACCTTAAACCCTAAATCCTGTGGGCTTTCGAACACTAAGGCGGGAACATTGAAAGAATATAAAACAGAAATCATTTATATTCTTTCAGGGGGGCATTTTGTTAGTGTGAAATCAAGAAATATGATCGATAAACGAACAAAGCGTATGATAACTTTTTCGATGTCCAATTATAAAGAACGTAGCACATAAAATCGAAAGGTAGAATCAGAAGGGTAGGAGTAATAGTAGAAGGCTTAACATGGAACAACTTTGAAGTATATGAAGTTAAGGTTAAAATGAATCGATGCCAGGTATACAAAGTTTTCGATTAAGTCGAAATCGAAGGGAAGGCTCGTCTATGTGGATATCGAAACCCCGGCTAAACCTTGAAGGGAAATAGTCAAAACGCACGTTTGGAAAGCAGTTTCTAAGTTATGGAAGAGGCGAAGATCGTGAGAACGTGGGAAACCGTAAGAGAGGAACTACCATACGCACGTAGAACGTGGTAGCAGTCGTGTTAACTGCTCTTAGGAAGGTTTGAAGGATGCCCTATAAATAGAGCAAAGGAAGAAGGAACAGGAGAGCAAAAATTGGCGGAGCACGAGAACCGGTAGTGAAAAGTCTACGGAGAAACGACGAACACCATGAAGCTTACGGCGATGCTGGATTTCCTGCTCACGGAGTACATTTATCGCTTTCTTTATTTTCCTTGGTAATTTACTTTCGAGCAATTTCGATTCAGCAATTTCATGTTTTCGTACTTTACATTCAATGTCATTTCGATTCAATGTCAAATTAGATTTACGCATCTAAATGTCTAGTCATTCAATATTCTGTCCATTTCGATTTTCGCATGTTTCGATTTCCTGCTATTTACTTTTCACGCAATCTTAATGGGTTTAGCACTTTACATTGTCTCGCACTTTAAAATTCCGCTTTTCGATTTGACGTCTTTATCGCCTTCGATACTTTAAATCACAAAAATATCAAAAATAGAGTTTTCAATACATGTAATTCTCGATTCTCATACACGTTGTCGATTGAAAATCAGATTGCTAGCCTAAGTAAAAAGAACTTACGTGGTAGAATTTTGATTAGGACCAAAACACCCTTAGAATCAAAATCGATCAAAATTCCACCAGAAACACCTACATTTCTATTTTTTTATTTGCACTAACATGATTATTGATATTATTAATTTTATTTTATTTTATTCTTAACACCATATGACTTATATAAGATCAACACCAAATTTATGTCAGAACATATTTCAATGATAGTTTTATTATAAAATTTAAATTTAAATTCTTATCACGATTTCCGCATAAGATAAAATAGTTGTTAGATGTTCACCCATCTCTTTACTTTTGTTCTCCAACTAAAGGAAAAGAGAATGATTTAAAATGATAGATTTTGCTAGAATTGTCTAAGTCTTTTCTTTTTCTTTTTTCTGTAAGGATCTCAAATAAAGTTTAATATTGACACTGAAAGCATCTTTAATGCAAGGATCAAGAATTAGAAGCTCTATATCTTATAAGAAATTTTTATTCAAATATGTGACATGTACTTACTAGTAGTACGAAAATAATTTTTTTAAGATTTGGTAAACAAATATGTAACATAATAAAGACCCACTTAAAATAAAATTAGAGTTTCTTCTTATATGTGGTCAATTATCTGAGTAGTTAATGCAGGTTTTGATTAAAGTTGGAAGAGTTTAAAAGTATTTTTTCTCTTACGCATTACAATTTTTCTTCTTATAACATACTTAATTCTTGTCGTATCGCATTAGTTAGTTTATAAACCTATGGAAAGTAAAATTAATGTGTGTTTGATTCACTTATGTTTTTTTTAAAGTCTTTTAAAATAATCAATTATTTCCTAAATTCAACAGGAGATTATGAAAATAAACACTTAATTTATATATTTTTAGAGAAAAATTTACAAAAAGATAATAACAATAAAACATGAGTTTAATTTATATAAGAGATTAACATCATTTTAATTAAAATGTTTAATATTTTAAGTAATGGATTTTTTTCTTAATGAAACTTAGATTTATACTTTAATTTCCTATAAATAAAAATAATAACTTACTTCATAGTAATTAACCAATATGATGTGTAACTGTAATGTGCTTCACTTTCGGACCATTACGAGAGAATTTATGTGAAAGTTATGGTATGTAACTAAGTTCTTACATTCTAAAATTATGTGATGGACAAATGTCAATGAATACCACAAATGCATTTTAGTTTTGGGTTATCAAATCTACTTTCTTCTACACCATACTCTACCATCAAAGTTTGAGAAAGTGAGAGAGGATTAACAGCAGCAATGGAATAAGTTATTATATCCATATCCTTAAAATTTAGAATAGCTAACATTTTCTTGCCATCAGTGAAAAATGTGCTTTTTTTTTGTTGAATTAAAAAAATTACTCGACATAGAAAAATGTGGTGATATTTTTAAAATTAAAACAAACTTTTTTACATCAAATCATTTTTTTTTAGGATTTTGTTTTTCTTATACGTACAAAGGTTTTGTATCGAATAATGATAATGACAATAACGATACCAACAAATTTTTTTTAGACGTTTTCCATTACGATAAACGAAAACGATGTTTCTCTCTAATTAGATTTGAACATTTAGGCATCTGCTTTATGAGACTAGTCAAGTCATCAATCGCCTCAACTTTAGTTATAAGTAGGGATGTCAAAATAAACTTAGTTCAATGAATCAGTCTAAAAGGTCCGAAAAATAGGTCAAATTACGCAAAAAAAATTTAAAACTTAAATAAAATCAGGTAAATTTCGGCCCGACTTATTTTGATCATACCTAAATGAGCTTAGGACAGACTAGCCCATAAGTTTATGGGCTGACTCATTTTATAAAATAAAAATTATTTTACTAAAATATATATATATATATATATATGTATATAAATATAATAAATTTTTAATTTATTTAATAAATAAAAATTTAAAAGATTATTAATATAATTAAAAATTTATTTTAAAGAAATACATATAAAAAAAAATTATGTAAAAAAATAAATTATTGATAAAGGGATTTTTTAATCTGTCCTTTGATGAAGGGTGTTAAAATATGTAGCCTGTACTAAATCTGACAACTCAACCTATCCTCTCTCTCCCACTTTCTTGACTTAGAGACAAAGTAAACTGAAATACGACTAATACGTTTTATCATTCTAATTAATACTATTATTGTCTATAAAAAAATATTTTCCTACCAAAAAACACTTATTATAATTGTTATTAGAATAATAATATATGGACATTTTTATTTTTAAATACTTAAATAATAATTATTTTATTTTATATTATATTTTTCTTCTTTTGCTATATATCGTTGGAGATATTTATACATACTGTTTTATTGTTAATATATTCTACTGATTATGAACAAATGAAAATTAAATCACATCCACCAAATTTTATAATAATTATAATATGACAAGAAGTTAAATTGAGAAAAATATATAAAAATAAGAATAACACAGTTATTATATAATAATTAATAAACATTTTACAGATTATTTATATATTGACGGATCAAATGCTTGACTAATCAAACACGTTTGAGGTGACAAAATGCACAGAATTTTAAAATCGAATCGATAAGATCTTGTGATAAAATAATCTGACGGTAAAGTTCTTAAAATTATAAAATATAAACACTAAAATATGTCTTACTTTTTCATAAACCGGACTTAACAGAGAATTTGAGGTTTTTTAATTTAGATTATTTTTTAGTTTTTAAAAATTAATTTTAAAAATCTGTTTATGAAAATAAATTAAAAAATTGTTTGATAATTTTATTTTTAAAAATGATTTTAAGTTGATGATAAAAGTATGAAAAATTATGAAAAAATAAATTTAATAACTTTATAACGATAAAAATGAGAGATTATTGATGAAAATATTAATATTTATTCATGAAAATAAAAAAACAAAATTAAAACCTATTTTTTAGTTTTTAAAAATTAAATAATAAAAATAATTTTTGTTCTAAAATCATCTTCAAATTATTAAAAAAAATAAATATTTTATTATCAACCTTCTATAATAAAATTAAAAAATAAATATTTAAATAATTCATAATAAAATATTTATTTTTTAAAAAAAATTTGTATTAAGGATATGTTATACTAAAAGAGTTGACATTAATTTTTAAAAATTAAAAAAAGTGAAAATTATTTTAAAAAATAATAAACAAACCAACCTGAGTCACCCACATCTTATTATAACCATAAAAAATAAAAAATTATTTACCAGTATTAACAAATTTCGTAAACAGTTCAGAGAATTAAAGTGGCAAAACCCCAACTCATTAATATTACATACGGTTGCACAAAATCTACAAGAAAAATGACCATACCGATGATGGTCACGGATCAACTTTTTAAATCATTTGGTGACAACCTCGTCTATATTAATTAAGTTGTTTGCTGAGGTAAACATTAGGTGGAATGTAAGACTAGCCTCTTGCGAGATCTTTATGTTCTCTTGAAGTTTGCAAAAACCAATTTATTCATAGTTTGTGTCTACCACTTGCCTGTGTTAAGGACACAGTTTAGAAACTTCCTCCAACAAGAACAGCCGGATCTTTCCTGAAAGTATCAGAATATAACATTAGTTCTTGTCTGTATAAAATTAATTTTTTAGTTAGTGTCATGATAATGAAAAGGACCCCCTAGCTTCTTCCTCTTTTTACCTGTCGGATATTCGCAAGAGGCAGATAATAAAGAGACAGCATAGTTATTCTGACTAATTATTATATATAAAGGACCCTTCTCTTTCTCTTGTTATTGTGAATCAAATTTGATTTTTTCCATAAGATTTTTAACCCTAATTTTATATTTCATTTTAGGAATGCTTGATATCAATGTTCCAATTAACATAAACAGAGATGAAAAAATACAATATAAACATGACAGATTAGGCTGAAGAAATAAGAGCTACTATAGTTTATTTGAACTTACTGTCTCCGATTTAGCACTTGTTTGATCTTGAACAATCTGTTTAGAGGAGCTTTCATTAGAATTTTCCATCATCACTCTCTGGCTTGATTTCCTAACATCACTCGTTCGTATTTCTTTGATGATAATAGCTGCGTTCAGCTTATTATTTAGTAGAAGGAATGGTTCTTCTCGTTGTGCAGAATTGCTTACAACGTTAATTCTCTGTGGCATAGTAGCTGCTCGTGTTATCTGGTCATTACCACCTTCTTTTTGTACGTGACTTCTACGTGCATGGGCTGAATATGACTTTGCCAAATCTATTGAAAAATATGAGTCACTATATTGGTTACTAAACGTTGTGCCCGAATGGTCAGACAATGGAGTCGATTTATCCCGAAGTGGCGTTCTTTCTTCTAATTTTGATAAAAGTTCAGCAGGGCGTAGTTCTTTTTCTTGTAATTCAAGTTCAACAAACTTCATCTTCTCACTCTCGGTTCTGTTATGTTTTTTCCATGGACTACTATACAATCTCTTGTCCCATCCAGCGGTTGCACTATCAAGATTTTCTCTGCTTCCCCCTTCAATTTGTTGTGCTACCAAACTCATGATCTCATATTCATACCCTTTGCAACTACTATCTACACTTGCATTGAACTTTTTGTGTTCCACTTGGAGACTAGTAAGTTGCTTTAACAAAGGGCTTGATTGAGGGAAAGATGGGTTTTGAAACAAAAGGGGCTCTAAGTTGTCGACGGCACAAGCTATATGTGTGTCAAATTCACACATGTTGCACCTATAGAGCCACCGGTTATTGTCTTTACTGGGATTGTTGCACAAGTCACAGAAGAACTCATAGGGTGGTGAAAACTCAAGCTTGATTTTGTGGGGGTGGTATTTGATTGTGAGGGAGATAGGGAGTGCAAGACACAAGGCATGAAAGAAGATGCTGCATTCAGCGCAGTGGTAGCAGAAGCCCGTGACATGGTGCCCACATGCGACACAGTTGAGGGTGGCATTGGTGGAAGGTATAACAAGGAGGACTAGATCGTGGCTTGCATGTGAAGGGTGGCTTGTGATTAAGGGCATCTTGCAGCACACATGGTGAAGAGAGAAAGCACATGTTTTGCACTGGTAATAGTCCTCACCACACTTAACTTTTAGCTTGCATCCAAAGCAACGTACAATATTTGCTGTGGAGGTTGAGGTGGTGCATTCCAAAAGATGTGGATGGCTAAAGTGGAAAACACCTGGGTCCTTCTGTGCTGATCCCATTTCTCTTTTTGTGAAAGTACTTCGACAATTGAACTTGTCCATCTTTGTTTGTTGTGTATATACATACTATATATTGCTGCAGTATTGTGAGGTGGTTTGGTTTCCCTCATCTACGGTTTTCTTTTTCACTTTCTTGGTGGCATAATTGTAAGCTAGCTGTTATGGGTCTTCTTGTCTTCAGATGCTGTTCGGACATACCCAAAATTCAAATACATGTGTTGGGGGCACGTGTCTGATTCTTTGTTGGGAATTCCGTAATTTGTATGTTTTGGATCGTTCATCTGTCAAACCGAGGTAAAAAGGATTTGCATCAACAAGTGCAGGATCGGATAGCATAGTGACCAAAGAAAATGTTATATTTAGATTCTTACAAACAACAGATTCCCACATTTTAGCCGGCGGACTCTCTTCCTTCATACTCATGCTCACTGCACTTTCTTTTTCTAACCTTTTTCTAAACCTTTTTTACTGCATTAGGTACAGTTTTTTTAACGCTATCATGTCGCATATATTTGTGGAAAAAGATATTTTGAGAAACTAAAACTCTTCAACATATTTCTCTTTTAATATTATAATAATAATTTTAATAAAAGTGAATTGTATATGTTTTGTGGTTCTCAAAATATCACCATCCTAAGTTTGTAAATTAAGCTGGTTAACTTTAATGATAACTATAACAGTGGTGACTCGGACCTCCTAGTCTCGTGTCACCGTTGACACTACAATCTCATATATTTTAATCTGATTATTTTTTAAAACATTAATATATTTATATCAAATCAGTTAATTAAAATATTTAAATAAAATTAAAAATAATGTATAATTTAAATTTTATTAATAAAATTATTATTTTTATTTAAATATAATAATTTAATATTTAAATTATAAAAAAAAATTTATTTCATTTTAAAATAAAAATTAAAAATTTATTCTTTATTATTATTATTATTTATTTTTAATAATTTATTAATTTAAAATAATAATTAATCTTAATAATTAGATTTTGAAATAAATTATTCTTAGATATTTATTAAAAAAAGGAATCTTTATTAAATTAATTTATAATATATATATTTTTTAATAAAATAATATTGTTTTTATTTTTATTTTAAAAATATTTATAAGTTAATATAATGTGTCAATTGACCTGCCTAATATGCTTAACCTAAATAAATTTAAATTACTTAAATAAATTAGATCAAAATAAGTCTAATTTAATTTAAATTACAAATTTTTTAATTTAATTTAATCTATTTTTCTAATTTTTAAGATTGATTAAGTTAAAATTATTTTAATTTTAATAATATATATATATATATATATATATATATATATATATATATATATATATATATATATATTCCTGGTTTCACTTAAATTTAATATTGTTTATTTGTACATCTCATCTATGCCCAGGTAAGAGTTTTCCGAAGAACAGGCCAGGGCAACAAACCTAGTTATTGCTTAACTGTTTCTTTAGGCTGTCCCAATCTTGAGTTATTGCTCTGACTCTTGTTGGATCTCTGGGCCGGTGGGTTTTGATTGGGTCAAGACTTTTAAATGTGTTGCTTGGACCTAAGTTGAAACTTCACCCTATAACTATTGCACCCTTTGATTTGATGATTGCATTACATAACAGACAGCAAGGGAGATCTGTAATCATAAGATCAACAGCATGTCAACTTCAAAAAGCATAGTTAAGGTTTAAATGCTAAGTTTAATGTGGATTCCGGAACCTCGTACAATCAAACTTCATGCACAGCAAGGGTTGCAAAGGCAACTTCAAAAGGCATATATAAGTTCATTGTTATGTGCTAAGTGTAACGTGGGATCCAGGAAGCTCATGCAATTTTATTATTTGCAATAAATGTGGCTTTTTCACAATCACAACCCTTATCAACTTCTTTGAAGTCCATCGAGTTTTAGAAAAATAAGGGTAATGTTCAAGCTTATGTTGTCTGGACTTGCAAAATTAAAATAAGAAGACCTGAGGCATGGGAGAGATACATAGTCCTTAATAATTCATCGATCGGATGTGATGTTTTCCCAGGATACAACAGGTTCGTCCCGGACCACCGTAGGAAGACACGAGGTAACACTAAACTGTCAAGAACGAACAGTAGGATCAGAGGAGTAGAACTGACTTGAATTTCGACGGAAAATAGTTTTTGTTTCTTATATAGATAATTAGATAAAAAATAGTCGTTTTGAATCTATGCGGTTTTTTTAAAATAAGCAACAGATAGATAGTGAATTAAAATCAGGAACCACTTATCAGATAATGGAGGTTAAGGGCAATCCCAATAAATCTGATTAGACCAAGTAAAAAATAATATCTTAAACTTTTGAAATAGCTTAAAAAGTCAATAATCCCCCACATATGTCAAAAGTTTTAAAACAATTTTAAAAAGAAGAAAGTTATGCTCTAAACCACTAACATGAATGTTAATGCATCGGATCTTTAGTCTTTTGGACTATGAACTAGACCTAGATTGATAAGTTGTAACATACAAGTGAATCGGTGGAACGAGTTCCTATGAACCAAGACACTTTAGTGTATGCCAGAGATCTTACCAATCACATCATACCCTACAGTTCTTGCCATTACCGTTGTGTTGCACAGTAAGGCCATGCGCTCGCTTGGTATTCATGAGTGTTCTAGAGATTTCGCCTAAATCTCGTGCAAGCGGCCCTACTTGACACTCAAATAGGTGATTTCATCAAGTGTATACTGCACTTCGTACACCACCCATAAGGGATATGAGAATCATTAAAAACCTTTTGGGCTTATCCTCTCCAGTATGCAATCTAGCACCTTATACACCATAGGAAGGGACAAGTGAAATAATGCTAGTAGGACTAACAACTGATTTGTTTTTATCCATATGAACCTTCTTCATGGGGTCTCCAATCACAAATGTTGGGTTCCCATCATTGTTAGTATCAAAATGACTTTAGTCCCATTTCCCTTGATATTTCATATATATACTTTCTACCCAAGGGTTTAGTTAGAGGATTGACCAAATTCACTTCTGACTTTGCATAATCAATGGAAATTATTCCATCTTTCAGCAGTTGCTTCACCACGTTATGTCTTAACTGAATATGTCTACTTTTGTCATTGTAAGTCTTTTGCCTTGCAACGGATATAGTCGACTAGCTATCACAATGAACATACACTGATGATGTTGGTTTCATTCCTAAGGGAATATCTGCTAAGAAATTTTTCAACCACTCAACTTCGTTACCGACCAATTCCAAAGCTATAAATTCAGATTCCATAGTGGATCTGACTATTATAGTCTGTTTGGTCGATCTCCAAGTGATAGCACCACCACCAAGTGTAAAGATGTAACCATTAGTGAATTTTGTCTCATCTTAATCTGAGATCCAGTTAGCATCACTTATCCTTCTAATACAACGGGAAATCCACTATACATAATACCATAATCCATGGTACCTCTCAAGTATCTCATGAGTCTAACAAGTGCACCCCAATGATCCTTATTAGGATTCTGAGTGTATCTACTCAACCAGCTCACGACATAGGCAATGTCAGGTCGAGAGAAATTCATTAAATATAACAAACTCCCGATAATTTGTGCATACTCAGACTGAGATATAGGGTCACCTCAATTTTTCTTTAATTGAGTGTTTCCATCATAAGGGGTACACACATGCTTGTCATCAAAGTGTCCAAACTTCATAAGAAGTTTTTCAACATAATGTTCTTGGGATAGTATAATACTATCACCATTCCTTATGATTTTAACACCCAATATCACACTTGCTTCACACATGTCTTTCATATCAAAGTTAGATACAAGAAAAAGCTTAGTCTTAATCACTACATCTAAGCATGTGCCAAATATAAGCATATCATCTACATACAAGCAAATAATAACACATTCACCATTTGTGTAAACACATTTATCTACTTCAACAGTAGAAAAATCATCATCAATCAATGTCTGATTAAATTTCTCATGCCACTATTTTGGAACTTGCTTTAAACCATATAAGGATTTGAAAAGTCTACAAACTTTATTTTCTTGACCAGAAACCACACATCCTTTAGGTTGAGACATATAAATTTCTTCTTCTAAATCACCATTTAGAAAAGTCGTTTTTACATCCATTTGATGTATAATCAATTTGTACATAAAGGCCAAGGCTATTAAAATTCGAATTGAAGAGATTCTAGTCACAAGAGCAAATGTATCAAAATAGTCAATATTTTGTTCTTGAGAAAAACCTTTCGCAACCAATCTTGCTTTATATTTTTCAATAGAACTATCAGGATTAAGTTTCCTTTTAAAAATTCATTTACAACCAATGACTTTTGCTCCCAGAGGTAAATAAATTAAAATCCAAGTTTTATTTTTAGAAAGAGAATCAATTTCAGTTTTAATAGCCTTGTTCCAAAATTCAGCATCAGAAGAAGAAACAACTTCATAACAGGTTAAATGATCATTTCTAATTAAGTATAAAAATCATTTCCAAAGGAACTTTCTTTTCTTTGTCTTTTACTCCTTCTCAAATCCTCATATAAGTTCTCATTGTTATTTTGAGTTTTTGCATGAGAAATAGATTCAGACTTCAATGGGAATACATATTCTAAGAACTCAACATCTTTTGTTTCTAAAATTGTATTACAATCAAGCACATCACTTTTCAAGACAAGAAACCGATAGGCAACATTATGCTCAACATAGCCAACAAACATACAATCAGAGGTCTTAGAGCCTATTTTCCTTTTTTTAGGGTCAGGAAGCATAACCTTAGTTAGGCACCCCCACACTCTCAAATAACTTAAGTTAGGCTTATACCCTTTCCAAATTTCATAAGGAGTCTTACCGGTTCTCTTATGTGGGATCCTATTTTGCAAGAAACAGGCAGCTAAAAGGGCTTTCCTCGCAAGTTATCTGGTGCACCTGAACTAATGAGCATGACATTCATCATTTCTTGTAAGGTCCTATTTTTCCTTTCTGCTACCCCATTAGACTCAAGTGAATAAGGTGGAGCTACTTCATGTATTATGC